GGCAGCTGATGATGGTACAGATTAGGACCCTGCCATCTACATGGGCCCCTGGCAACGACCTTGCTGTTGGGGGCATTTGGGGAGTATACCAGCAGATGGAAGATTTCTCTCTCTCTCTCTCTCTCTCTCTCTCTCTCTCTCTCTCACACACACACACACACACACACATCACCTTTGAAATCAAATCAATTCAAATAAATAGACTTTAAAAACAAAGGTACTGAGTGCCAGCACTGTGCATAGAGGGTAAAGCCATTGCCTGCAGTGTCAGCATCCCATAAGGGTGCCGGTTAGAGTCCCAGCTGCTCCACTTCCAATCCAGCTCTCTGCTATGGTCTAGGAAAGCAGTAGAAGATGGCCCAAGTCCTTGGGTCCCTGTACCCGCATAGGAGACAAGAAGACACTTCTGGCTCCTGGTTTTCAATCAGCATAGCTCCAGTTGTTGCGGCCATCTGGGGAGTGAACCAGTGGATGGAAGACCCCTCTCTCTCTCTATCTCTCTCTCCGCCCCGCCCCGCCTCTGCCTCTGCCTATCTGTAACTCTGCCTATCTTTAACTCTTCAAAGAAATAAATAAATCTTAAAAAAAGAATAATTGATGGAAGACATAAATTGCCATAAAATCGTATTAAGAAATTAATTTACTGATTGAAAAAGGAGAATCATAATGATTCCTGCTCTGGGTATGTTTCTTGATAGTCTACAGTATGTCCTATAGTTTTAGTTCTTACTTATCATCTAGAAAGAAAAGGACATTAATTACATACAAGTTATCAAGAATTCTCTGTGAGTTGGAAGTACTAATTTTATTTCTTATTCTTCTCCCAACTAGGTAAGTCAATATGACTTTGGGAATCAAGTTTCCTTTGTATAACATGAAGAAGTTGAATTAGATAGTCAGTCTCTGAGTTTTCTTCCAACATATTTCACAACATTGTAAGTTTTAAATTAGGAAGATAAAGCTTAGAAATAACCATGACTAGTATGGATTAATGTTCCATCTAGCCCCCAAACCTGTGCAAACAATGGCCCAAGGGAATGTACCACGAGTGGATATAATTTTTCATCTTGACATTAAACTTTGAGGTACAGTGTTCATCAGTTCCTTGTAATCTCCATTGATGGCACTATGGAATATAAATTCAGCCAGTCCTTTTGAGAATCCACTTATGTTTGCTGTCCATGCCTACCTCTTGGGGGTTAAGAATTTCATAAGTATTATCCTCTATATAAAGAAGTACTCCCCCGACTTGTTTTGCGCTGTTTACCTTGCTTAGGTTTAAAAATGATCCTCTCAAACAGAGACTCATCCTACTGATTCAGATTTTAAAAGGTAAATATACAACTGTTTTCATTGTATCAGTCATCACTATTTTCTGTTTTAAGATTTTAATCTCCTCGGCATCCTTTGCTTCTGTCTTTCCAAGCTGCAGACGGTGATGCTTTCTAGCCCCATCTTGCATTGCCGGCGGTCTTTCCCAGCACTACTCCCACTCTGAATCCCCGTGATTGACTGCATTTTCATTTTCTGGAATTTTATCATTTCCATTTTGCATTCCTGGAGGCACAGCAACAAAGAGTATATATAGATTCTATAGGTGGAAATGGAAGAGAAGGGCAATGTAGTTTTAAAAAATATTTTTGGGGGAGCAACCCATGTTTTGCTGGAGAATTTACAGAAGCACAAGGAAGTCTATGTTCTCAAGAACTAGTTTCTATTTATTTAATTTCAGTTAGATTTTTAAAGTATGTTGTGTTCTGTCTTTTCTATGTTTTCCTCTCCTTTTCTCTTTCCCTTTTGTTTTTCAACTTTCCTTTCTGTCTGGCTTCTCCCTCACTTGGGCTGTGGTTTTGTCTTAGTCCATTTGGGCAGTTGTAACAGAATGCATCATAAACAATGGGAAATTACTTTTCCCAGTTCTGGAGGCTGGAAGTCCAAGATCAGGCTGCCAGCACAGTTAAGTTCTTGTAAGTGCCCTTTCCAGGGTTGCAGAATGTGACCTCATGTGGGCAAAACAGCAAAGATCTCTCTGTGACTTATTCTATTTTTTATTTATTTATTTATTTATTTATTTATTTTAATTTATTTGACAGAGTTAGACAGTGAGAGAGAGAGACAGAAAGATCTTCCTTCCATTGATTCACCCCCCAAATGGCTGCTATGGCCAGAGCTATGCCAATCCGAAGCCAGGAGCCAGGTGCTTCCTCCTGGTCTCCCATGTGGGTACAGAGGTCCAAGCACTTGGGCCATCCTCCACTGCTTTCCTGGGCCACAGCAGAGAGCTGGACTGGAAAAGGAGCATCTGGGACTAGAACCTAGCACCCATTTGGGATACCGGTGCTGCAGGTGGATGATTAACCAAGTGAGCCATGACGCTGGCCCCTTTTTTTTATTTTTAATATATATTTTATTTAAGTCATACAAGTTTTATATATTTCTTTATACTGTTATGTGGCCTCTTTTAAGAGTACTAATCCTATTCATGTGGTCTCTAGCTTATTGATTTAATCACATCATATCATCATCATCATCATCATAATCTTGGGAATTAGGATTTAAACATATGCATTTATGGAGGACACAAACATTTAGACGCTAGCAAGCATCCTATATACTTACAATTTAAAGTTCACTTTAAAATACTAAGCAATAAGATTAACTAATATGTGCTTTTGTAAATCCAAATTCTTTAATATCGTTGAGAGGATCATTATCCTAATTTAAATCTATTACATCAAATAAAAGCCAAGGATTTTCTGGAGGGTGATGGGAAATGCTCCAGGCACACAGAGCCAGGAGGAACTGACAAAGCCCCTCAGAGATTCAGACTGAGAACAACGAAAGACATCTAAGCTTGAACTATTTTATTACCCATTTAAGATACATTGCTTTGTTGTCCTGTCTCCTTTCCTTCACTCTTTTGATGCCCAGTCCATTTTCAAGTGTAATTGGTTTAAATTTATGTTTTCTTCTTTCCCTTGATTTTATCTCACCTGCAATCAAAGTGCATTTCATTTGTTGTTGAATGTGCTGCTCAACTTAATGATCAATAGGGACTTGGGCACATATGCACACAACCATCAGAAAAGGAAGAGTACTAAAATATGTTGAGTACCCGTTTTATATCAGGCACTTTACTGGATTCTGTTCTTTTCTTGTTTCCTGAAATCCTCACAGTATCTCTGTCAGAGAATTGTTCAATTCTGCCTTTTACACATGAGTTACCTGAGGCCCCTTTGATCATTTTCTCTGGGATTCTAGATGTGCCAACCAGTAAGGAGTTTACAAATACCCACAAGACTCTGGGCATTAAGAGACTGTTAGAATCAAGGTTTTTCATTGTTTTAATAGCTTTTGTTTCCTTTTTACAAATTACAGCAATTCTTTTCATAAGGTTTTTTGTTTGCCTCTATTCTTGTTTCTCAGGAGAGTAAATTTATTACAGAAGTAGTTTGAGAAGAATGGCTTAAACTAAGTGTTTTTCACAAAATGGATCTTAAAGATATTGAATCATTCTCAATTCTTTCTGAATGTACTGTTCATTGTTGTCAGTCAGGAACCAAGGGTTGACTTCCTATATTAAAGAGGCAGTCAGAGGTGATCTTTCTTTTATTTTTCTAGGCTGGATTCTGTTGTAGTTGCTGTTGATTATTTTCAATATTTTTATAATAACATCATAGATTAAATTGTTAGTGCAGGGAACGCAGAGACCTCATTGTTAGTGAGTTCTCTATTTATACATAAACCTAGAAACTAATCAGAGATAGATTTAATGCAAAGGAAGATATAGGCAATTAAATAAAACAAGATTTCTTGATAGGTCTCATTAGAAATACTAATTTGGAATTAGAACAAAAATTTATTTAAAACTATCTACTAACGAACATGCATGCTTCTAATGTTAATAAGTTATCAATTAGCTAATTTTATAATTTTGCATGGTCTGTCAAACACTGAATTTCCTCAGTAGGAAAATGCTATCCTTTCCTTTTCTGGGGCCCTCAAGGGGAAAAGAAGTAATTACTGTCAATGGTACTTCACTCCCTAAGTGCTGTAAGTAGCAGATCCACTGATTTGTAATTCTAGCCACAGAATCTCTTTTTCAAATTCATTTAGGTAATAACTGAAGGCTGACAGATGCTTATTTAAAAATCATCACTAGAGCATATATTTATATGTATATATTCTTACTGAAAAATCATTGAAACATTTCTTTATGAAAGAATGAAAATTTGAAGTGATAGGGTTGACATTTTTTCATCACTACTTCCAAATTCAGTACAACATATATTTATGTTCCTTAACTGTTAGTCAATTTGAGAGATTTGACTTAGTTTGATAACATCATTTAATATGTTCGCAGATATAATATTGAAAGACCTCAACTACAGCAGTAACAAAATTTTTCTACTTTTTTATTTTTCAATAAGTTTCTTCTAAAGATATATTCAGATGCTTTACAGTGGGTATAAGAAGTCCAAAACTGGAGATAAGAAATATCCTAATACTCAGAGGCACAGGAGTATGGTTCTGCCTAGTCTTCCTCTGGTTTTCATGAATTTGATTCTCCATTCACTGATCATCAAATCATCCAGGAATCCCATGTCTTTGGTCACTTTGACCTAAACCCACTTCTAATTTTAGCTGCCTGAAAATGGCATGTTGGGAGGTAGTAGGTGATGGCTTAAGTACTTGGGGCTCTGTCACCCTTGGGGGAGACCCAGTTTGATTTCTTGCCCCCAGATTTGGCCATGGCCCAGATTCAACTGTTGCAGGCACTTGAGTTGAGAAATCACCCAATAGATTGAAGATATTTCTCTGCCCCCACCCCTGTTCTCTCTCCATCTAAAATAAATAAAATAAAAAATACTATTAGAAAAATTATAGTAACATAAGAAAATATCTAATTTCCATTAATGGTAATGTCATAGACATTACTCTATATTACTGTTGATTTTTCCACATCTATAACTAAAGATAGTTCTCATTTTAACTTATAGGTTGGCAGAGCTAAGGATATCTTTTTGCCCATCCTAGTTCACAGACTACCTCAAATCCTGCTATGGCCCTATTGGGAATAATACAACTACTTCCTAGTAGAAGATGATAAATGAAGTATTATGAACTATAATTTCAAAAGTATCTTGCTTTACTGGTAAGTTTCTGTTGGAGCTTCCTTCTCATGGCTTATCGTGTATTAGAATTTATCATGAATATAAACAGGTCTTGGGAGACAACACATCTTACTGGAGAAGCATTTAATGAATTCCATACTTCAAATCAAGACACCATTTGTTTTAAAGGTAAAGCATTGGATTGTTGAAAACCAAAGGATGGAAATGACAACTCTTTAATAATCAAAAAGCATGCCAGCATTTCTTGTTATTTCTCTCCCACTTTCCGCCTTCCCTGTCAACTTTGTATATGTTTTTGTGGCTTCCCTATTTTTCTCTGTACTTTGTGAATTTTTCCTCCTTCTTTCTAATATGACCTCCCACATGCTGTTTTATTTTTTCCCTTTAATTCAAATAAGCACTGTTTTCAGTGAATCCTTATTCCAAATTTCCTAGAGACAAAATCTAATGAGTCTAATTTGCTATGGAGTCTGCATTTGCAATAACATGGTATCATTTTCTTCCCCTTTTCCTACCATAGATGTTGTCCTAAAAATATAGATCCACCAACATCCAAGCCAGTAAGAAGCAGCCAAATTACCAACCAGGACATGGTATGAAATGACATGATATGGCATTTCATTCCATTTCTTTCCATTCCATTTCTTTCCATTCCATTCCATTTCTTCCAGTGAACCAATGAACATGTGAATACAGTGAATATGCCAGGTTCCATGATAAATTCTGAGAATGAGAAGCTAACTGAGACATGGAAATTTTCTGAAGTATTCAAAGCCAGTATTATACAGAATTACTTACACAGAAGTTACTTGCCTGTAGTACGTGACAAAATCTGAAATGTGATATGAGTTAATTAATAACAAGTTAGAAGAAAAAAAATAACCAAATACTGACTTGTGCAAGACTCTAGGGAAGTTTAACATAAAAGTTAATCCAGCAGCCCTATTGTTGTAAAATACATTAGATTTACTAATTCGAGGCAGCCCCCAATCAATTCATATCAGAATTACCATGGATTCATTTTGTAGTTAAATCATATAGGTAGCTTTCTTAAGATCCAATCTATCAAACTTGAATGCATATGAATCTGGTTACGTGGTAGTGTTCCAGACGTGTAGACTGACACAAATAACATCACATGTTGTCCAAATAATTGACTTTCTAAAAAGATTCCTGTATACATGCATAGAATTCACTTCATAGCCGGCGCCGTGGCTCAATAGGCTAATCCTCCACCTTGCGGCACCGGCACACCGGGTTCTAGTCCCGGTCGGGGCGCCGGATTCTGTCCCGGTTGCCCCTCTTCCAGGCCAGCTCTCTGCTATGGCCAGGGAGTGCAGTGGAGGATGGCCCAGGTGCTTGGGCCCTGCACCCCATGGGAGACCAGGAAAAGCACCTGGATCCTGGCTCCTGCCATCGGATCAGCGCGGTGCGCCGGCTGCAGCGGCGGCCATTGGAGGGTGAACCAACGGCAAAGGAAGACCTTTCTCTCTGTCTCTCTCTCTCACTGTCCACTCTGCCTGTCAAAAAAAAAAAAAAAAAGCATCTTTAAAAAAAAAAAAAAAAGAATTCACTTCATGCGCAGTGTCTCAGTAGCTCCATGATCACTGTAATCCAAATCAATTGGTGAATATTTCCACCTCACAAAATTCCCTGTTGTTTTGTGAACTAGAATCTGTCCCATACAACGCTTAATCCATATTTAGACAGGCAGCACCAGTGGATCATAGGAAAATGGTATGAGTGGAAGCCACTTATATTGTAAGCAAATACACAGGCAAGATCTTGAAAACAAGTCTCTAGCTTATTTTGCATCCTTCCATTAAAAAGTATAGGGTAGGACTACACTGCAATAAAAAACAACTTCCAAATCTCAATGTGTTACAAATTACCATAAACTTGGGCACTTAAAATGCACTCAGTAATTACCTCCCGGCTTTGACAGGCCAGAGGTTAGGGTTCTGGATCTCTGTGCCAGAGGCTCACTCACCAGGCTGTCATCAGTGTGTCAGCTGAGGCTGCAGTTTCATCAGAGCCTTAACTGAAGAAAGGTCTCATCTAAGTGCCGTAGTTTTGTTGGCAACATTTATTTTATTGTGATTGTTGGAGAGAGGCTTGGTTTCGGCTTGAAGCCCTTAAATTCAAGGTCCTTAGATCTTGGAGGCTTCCTTCAGACCACACCACTGGGCTTCTCTAGCATAGACCCGATTTCAGAGCAGCTTACTTCTTCAAGGCAAGTGAAAGGAGCATCTGGTGTTCTTCTTAAGACAAAGTCTTAACATCTGTTGTTCCACTATCACAGATAAGATCTCCCATGGTTTTTGATGAATTCTATTGGTTAGAAACAAATTATAGGCCTGCACTGCAGCTCACTAGGCTAATCCTCTGCCTGCGGCACCGGCACCCGGGTTCTAGTCCCGGTTGGGGCACCGGATTCTGTCCCGGTTGCTCCTCTTCCAGGCCAGCTCTCTACTGTGGCCCAGGAGTGCAGTGGAGGATGGCCCAAGTGCTTGGGCCCTGCACCCACATGGGAGACCAGGAAGCACCTGGCTCCTGGCTTTGGATCGGCACAGCGCACCGACTGTAGCGGCCATTTGGGGAGTGAATCAATGGAAAAGGAAGACCCCCCCCCTCTAACTCTGCCTGTCAAATAAATAAATAAAAAGAAACAAATTACAGTGGAAGTTTTGATATGTACTGACAGACAAGGGACTATGCAGAAAAATGAGCACTAGGAGGTGAACATTATTGGAGGTCCCCTTGGAGTGTGTACATCAGAGCTTTCAAGAGTAAAGGTTTGCTTCTCCATCACTTGCTGTGTACAAATTCCATGGGAAAATCAGGGCTGCAGACTGATAGAGGCTTCATCTTAACATGTCCTTCCTTGATTGTTGCAGTAGTGGGAAGGAATAAAAGAGTTTGTGTACTGAATTTAAACATCTGGCTTAGACGTGACCCCATTACTTCTACTCACATTCCGTTCACCAAAACAAGTTAGGTTTCTATGCCTAAATTCTAAGGGTATAAGGAAATTCAATATGATCATGTAACAGTAAAAGAGAAGGAAATACATGTTAAGCATTATTCCTAACTTGTGTACCTTCTTGGCAGAAGTAGGGGATTGGCCTCAACTCACATCTTAGCACCTGTATTTAACTTCTGGGCCTGCCCCATGTATGCATAAATTCAAATTCCCACTCACTTTCAGCACCATAACCTGTTTATACTTGGTCCCAAAGGGAAGTTAATGTTAATATCTCTCTATCTTTTTTGTGGATTTTGGTCACTAATAGTATAAATTTGGATCTATTAACCTGCTCATACTGTCCACATTTTTATCCTAATAGAGAGTTGGAATGAATTGCTCTCTGGGTTTGATTTTTCAAATTGACTTTAGAATCACTTTGGTGAATGATTTACTTGAAAAATTTCCGTGTGTCTAAAATGTTTCTGGCCTATTCTTTTCCTGTTGGTAGATATTTGGCCTTCAATCCTGGAATATCTTCCCTTTCCAGAATACCAATTCTAGTGTTTTGGACTATTTTATTTGTAAGATAGTTCCACTTGAGGCTTTGAGACCATATGCTGTATCATCACAACTTTATGTCCCCACTCTCAAGACCTGCAGCATCTCAGGAGTTTGTTCTCTCCACAATCTCAAATCCTCTCTATCCCTTAACTATATGCTGCCTTAAATATCTTTCATTTCCAGTAGCTTGCAGCCTTGTAAAAGGATCCCAGTGCCTAATAGGCAACAATGTAGTAGCAATCTGGGTACCAGCAGATTCCTCTGTTACTAGAAGAAATAAGAGAGAGAAACTTAAATGTTTATACAACAGGCTTTTTCTCTCTTTCTAGAAATGATTTCCTTAATCTCTTAAAGCCTGATATATCAGTTAAGCTGTGCTGGAAACAACTTCTACATTTGTTAGAAGTGCTCAGTCTAGTAAGTTCACATACCATTTTCTGTATACTTAGCTTCCCATATAATGACAGTCAGTTGTGTAATTTACAAACTGTGCTCTGACTTTGAGGTATATTCTAATAGCGATTAAGATATATTCTGATCAGTCTGCTCTGTGTCCTTGTTCAATTATTTAGACAAATTCAAGTTTACCCAAGAATATCTACAACCTTGATTGTGTTTAAGGATGAATGATTACTTATGAGATACAGGTGGCCAACACATGCTTGATCACAAGATCCAAGATAGAAGGACTAAAATGAAATTTGAGTGAGCACAGGCCATGAGAGGTATGTCTAAACTTGCTTCAAGTTCACAGCATTTTATTACTTTTATTTTAATACCTTTCTCTTGGCCATCACCTGACTGCACCTGTCCCTTCCATCATAATTTCACTCCTACCACATGAGTGCAAAATCCTGACTGTCACCAGTTATTCACAAAATGTTTTATCATCCAAATTTTGCATGAACTGATAACTTCGTTGCAGATATACAGCACCACACAGCTGGTATCACATGTTCAATCATGGCTATCTTCATCATCCATCACTATTCCCTGGCTCTTGCCCTGCTCATCCTACCCCGGAGGAGGAATCACCAAGTGGTGTTTTCTTCTGTAAAAGACTATGGATTGATTATTTTATACTCTGAGTTCTTGAGGTTTCTATTCGTATTTGAAAAGAGCCTGCATATTAATTTTTGCACACCGATATAGTGTACTTATTAAACAATATTAGAGTGAGAAAAAGTTCTTCTTTATGCTAGGTGTAATTATGTTTTTTATAAAAAAGTATATCGTAGATGAGTTATGTAGTGTAGGCTTTGGGAACACAGAGGAAGGGATGATTGATTCTTTTCTGGAGAATTGGGATAAAGAAATACAAGTGAGAGGCAAATCAGAGCTCTGGCACAGCAGGTGTGAAGGTGATGATTATGATGTATTTAAAGAATGATGAACAAAGGATAGGAGAAAGAGAAGAAGATTAATGTGAAATGCTAGAAAGATAGAAAGAGATGCTGCTTTTACAGATATACATATATCATCCAGGGTCTTCTGAGAGATTTGGCTAAATTGCAGAACTGAGTCATTATCCTTGAAGCTTTTCCTCTACAGAAAATTTCTGCTTCAAGCAGCGAGTGTGAATTTGAAATTTTGTAGAGCAAAGTTACTAAGCAACAAGATGGAAAAGGTTAAGTCAAGAAGCAGTGGCATTTTATGTAATATTTCATAATAGTGCATATTGTATTTAGGACTATGTGATGCATACTAAAGTAACAGAATCTTATATTCTAAGAATTCACTGCAGCTATATGTGATCTTAGTAAGCCAGTAAGAGTTTGCTCAAACATTACTTGACAGCCAATGGTTGTCTTTCCTGTCCTAAGCTTGAATGCATAGATTATATTAGGTGGGATCTAACTGAATTGAAAAAGTACTTCTATTTTCATTTTGGAATTTTGTATATCTTTTTGAAGCTAAAAAATGCAAGGTATTGAAGGTGCATTGACCGCAAGAGTAAGTACTAGAGAAAAGCTGCTTTCTGCCTTCTTTTCTCTTCTATATTACTTTCTTTCTTGCTCCTTTGATCCACAAATGTTTATTGAGTGCTTGCTATGTGCCATGGACTGTGCTAGGTACAGGGAAACAAATTGCAATTGCAGTACTGTGAGATAAATATTCTTAGACAAGTGTTTTTCAGGGGCATGTAAGCAGAAACTTAATCCAGGATTGAAATAAGAGGAAAATATAATCTTGAGTGGAAATTTGAAGGATGAGGGATCTCAATGCATGTTAAGGAGAGGATTTTGAACATTGAAAGAATTATTTACAGTTAGTAGGCATTTAAATAAGTATTATATTTATAAAACTCTAAAAAAAGTATTGAGGTATTGAAATTTTAAGTTCAGTGTACAAGTTTTTGTTTGTTTTTTGTACAGGCAGAGAGGATAGTGAGAGAGAGAGACAGAGAGAAAGGTCTTCCTTTGCCGTTGGTTCACCCTCCAATGGCTGCCACGGCTGGCGCGCTGCGGCCAGCGCACCACGCTGATCCAAAGGCAGGAGCCAGGTGCTTCTCCTGGTCTCCCATGGGGTGCAGGGCCCAAACACTTGGGCCATCCTGCACTGCCTTCCCGGGCCACAGCAGAGAGCTGGCCTGGAAGAGGGGCAACCAGGAAAGAATCCGGCGCCCCAACCAGGACTAGAACTTGGTGTGCCGGCGCTGCTAGGTGGAGGATTAGCCTATTGAGCCGCGGCGCTGGCCTAGGTTTTGAAATAGTATTCAGAAATGTGTTAAAACATCAGTAATTATACTTATTTGTGATTATAAAATTGTATACACTCAAACTGGGCACCCTAAATCCCCATAAGTAATCCGTATAATTTATTATCTTATCAAATGTCCTTAAATATTAAAAATATTGTGAAAAATAGAGCAAGACATGAGGATAATGAGCTCTGGGATATGGACAACACATTTATGTAGAGGATTCATGGAAGGTTTTTCTGATGAAATAACTTCTGAGCAGTGACCAAAAGGAAGTAAAGAAAAGAACATTGAAGGTGATTTAAAAAAAAAAAAAATTCAAGAAGCAGGAACAGTGTGCACAAACATATAGCTATTTAGGCATGTGCAGAGACATGCCTTGTGAATGCAAGTTGAAATTTGAAGATGCATATTGTAATCAGTCCAGTAAACACCAAAAATAAAACAAAGGAGCATAGCTAAAAGGTCAGTGGAAGACATAAAATGGACATAAAAAAAACACTTGAATCAGCACCTCCTGTAGTATGGAATAAAGGTGTGGAAAGAGGAACAAAGGAAAAAAGAGCAACAGGATAAATGACAAATCTGAAGACCATACACTTAAAAAGATGTTTAAATAATTGCATTAAACATACATAGGATAAAGAACCCAATTAAAAGGCCATGATTATCAGGTGAGTTAAAAAAAAAAAAAAAACACAATAATGATCTACATGCTGTTTGCAAAAATGCTTTAAAGAAAAAGACACAGAGATGCCATCAGGGTGAAACTTAAAGAACAGAAATGTTTACATTTCTGCAAACACTGAGCATAAGAAAGTAAACTTCCTGAATAACCATCAGATAAAAAGGTCAAATAATCAAGAAGACACAGTAACCTTCAGTGTGTATGTATCAATTCTAAAACTAAAATTCATTAGTCAGTAATTCTCAGATATAAGGGAGGAACTCTGCAATAATTTATGGAGATTCAAATAACCCTTTTTCAGAAATGAATAGAATGAGTTTGCAACTATCAGTTAATATATGGAAGAATTTAGCACTATCCACCAAGTTAAATGAAATTATCAGAACACTATAATAAAAAAACATATAATACATATTCTCAAATGAATATGGAATTTACATAAATAGACCTCACCTCATTTTATGTAAAAAGATTTAATACATTTCAAAGTTTCAAAACTGTTATGTTATTTGCTCATAAGTAAATTCTCTACCTCTGAACTAGAATTCAGTAGCAATACAAATTTGATAAATTCCCCCAGATACTTGTGAATTAAACACAATGCTTATGAAGAACTTATGTATCAAAGACAAAAACACAAGAGGAATTTACAGCTATTTTGAACAGAATAAAACAGCATGACTGGTACAGAAACAGATGGATAGACCAATGGAACAGCATAGAAACACCAGAAATCAATTCAAACATCTACAGCCAACTTATATTTGATCAAGGATCTAAAACCAATTCCTGGAGCAAGGACAGTCTATTCAATAAATGGTGCTGGGAAAACTGGATTTCCACATGCAGAAGCATGAAGCAAGACCCCTACCTTACACCTTACACAAAAATCCATTGAACATGGATTAAAGACTTAAATCTACAACCCGACGCTATCAAATTATTAGACAACAGTGGAGAAACCCTGCAAGATATAAGCACAGGCAAAGACTTCTTGGAAAAGACCTGAAGGTGCAGGCAGTCAAAGCCAAAATTAACATTTGGGATTGCATCAAATTGAGAAGCTTCTGTACTTTAAAAGAAACAATCAGGATAGTGAAGAGGCAACCAACAGAATGGGAAAAAATATTTGCAAACTATGCAACAGATAAAGGGTTGATAACCAGAATCTACAAAGAAATCAAGAAACTCCACAACATCAAAACAAACAACCCACTTAAGAGATGGGCCAAGGCCCTAAACAGACATTTTTTCCAAAGGGGAAATCCAAATGGCCAACAGACACATGAAAAAATGTTCAGGATCACTAGCAATCAGGGAAATGCAAATCAAAACCACAATGAGATTTCACCTGACCCAGATTAGAATGGCTCCCGTACAGAAATCTACCAACAACAGATGCTGGTGAGGATGAGGGGAAAAAGGCTCACTAATCCACTGTTGGTGGGAATGCAAAGTGGTAAAGCCACTATGGAAGTCAGTCTGGACATTCCTTAGAAACCTGAATATAACCCTACCATACAGCCCAGCCATCCTACTCCTTGGAATTTACCCAAAGGAAATGCAATTGGCAAATAAAAAAAGCTCTCTGCACCTTAATGTTTATTGCAGCTTAATTCACAATAGCTAAGACCTGGAATCAATCTAAATGCCCATCAACAGTAGACTGGATAAAGAAATGATGGGACATGTACTCTATAGAATACTATACAGCAGTCAAAAACAATGAAACCCGGTCATTTGCAACAAGATGGAGGAATCTGGAAATATCATGCTGAGTGAAATGAGCCAGTCCCAAAGGGACAGGTATCATGTGTTCTCCCTGATCAGTGACAACTAACTGAGCACCAAAAAGATAATCTGTTGAAGTGAAATGGACACTATGAGAAACAATGACTTGATCAGCCCTTATCCTGACTGTCGATGAACAACTTAATACTTTATCCCTTTTATTATTTTTTTTGTTCTACTTATTACTATTGGTTGAACTCTTTAATTAACACACTATTATTCTTAGGTGTTTAAATTTAACTGAAAAGTGATCTCTGTTAAATATAAGAGGGATCAAGAAGAAAAGAAAGAAAATTTTCTCTAAAAACAAAATACTAAATCATGGATAAGAAAGGGAACACTAATATGCAAAGACACTCCAGGCTTAAGTGGCTTCAGTAATAAATTTTATTAAATATTTAAGGAAAAAATTTTACCAATATAACACAATGTCTTCAAAAAGTAAAGAAGGAGTAACAGTTTTCAACCTTATAACATTGCAAGAGAAAAAAATGCAGACTAATATTGAATGTAAATGCAAAAAATTCTTAACAACACATAACCAA